GCCCGGCTCAACATACAAGACATCGCCAGCCAGGATCTCGTGGACGTTGATCAGAACAGATTTGCCAGAACGAATGGCTTTGATCTCACGATCTTCCTTGCGTGTGTTCAGCTTCACGAATGCCTTTTGCTTCTGGTAGTCGTTGTGTGAGCCCACGACTACCACGATCACGACGGCGGCAAGAATGGCGACACCTTCGACCCATTTGATTTTTCCAGACGGATCATCATCATGAGTGACGCCAAAAGTCTCGTAGAGACCAAGAGCGAGCGAAATGACACCAGCGCCTGTCAAAAGGAACAAGACAGCCTCGTTGAACGCCACCCACATCAGCTTCCAGAGGGGATCTGGCTTCTTGGCCGGGAGCACGTTCTTCTTGAACACGCGGATCCGGTCTGCATGCAGATCGGACCCGGAGCCATGATGATGTGCGCCGGTTGCAGCTTCGGGGGTGGGTGCTGGCAGCGAGCCTTTCTCCTTGGCAGCATTCACTGCCTCGTCGAACGTGACTCTTGCGGGTGCAGTTGTCTCATCGACACTGAGGCCCGAGTGAAGATCGGTCTGCAGTCCGCGCGCAATGCCCCGAAGACCGCCCAGAGCACGAAAGGCCGGGAGCGACTTGGGGTTCAGGAGCTTGTTCAACTGGCCGGGAGAGAACCCAAAAGGATTATTCTCCACGTGGAAGTCAGCCTCGGTGCCTGGATCTGGGTGCAAGGCGACCTCGGCTGACTCCTCCACAATGCTGGGAGCAGCAGTTGTGCCGTAGGGAGTGAGGAGAGGGCTATGGTTGGCAGTGGAGGAGATGACGGTTTCCGCGTTGCTGAGGGAGCGTTGCCGCGTGTCCCCAGCAAGGGAATTGGGGTCAAGAAAGTCGTTGACCATGGTGGGTGGCAGCGGAGGGAGGCTGAAAGGGAGGAACAGACGGAGGCCGACCAGATGATCGAGTGATAAAGTTCAAAGTAGAAGAATCATACAGCCGTAAGTTTGCCACCAGGAGGTAGGGGCAGAGAAGGATAAGGCGACTGCGCAGGAGGTCTCAAAAACCAAAAGCTCGTGAGTTCACTCGAGGGAAAATTGGAAGCTTTTATAGACGACTCCGGAGGTTCGACTAGAAGGCCTCCCTCCCATTGCCAGTCACGACTCAATCATCATCATCATCGCCAGGACTGGCTGAGGGTGACGGGCACCCTGGCGCCTTGCTCAGGCATCGGCCTTTTCGCAGATGATACTGACCGCAAAGTCGACATGGAGGGCACAGCCACAATGGAGAACGGCGAGATGGACACCAAAAAGCAAATCAACGGTGGGGGTTTGCAACATTACCCACAGAAAGGGGGGCCGCAATCATCCAAGAGGCCTCTTCATCATATCAGGATGCAGGAAGTGGCGACGTGATTGCTAGGTACGTGGACAGGGGAGACATTCAGGCGTGGATCGGGTGAATTGAGTCATTTTCTAATTGGATTGCACGGCCTTTTGCGACAGCGGGATCCAGGTGGTAAATGACCAAATGAAACAGGGGTTGGTTGCAAGCTGTCATGAGTGGTGGTGAAGAGTGAGTGCCAAGATGATTGATCTGGAGCTAGGGTTATCAATCAGCAATTCTCTTCACAATGCTCCTTCGGTTTATCCGTGGAGCACTTTAGCCCTCGCCGATCGGTAAGAGGGGGGTCGGGTGAGTGACAGAGATTGCAGCTGGCTCAAGCACACAATTGAGACCTTCGCACATCGGACTTCCGAGGGCCGGCCAACCACAATTGTGGTCATTCAACAGGTGGGTAAGAACGGGCGAATGGATGAGTTTTAGCCCACTCAAGGGAGACACGATGTCACCAAGCTCAGCTGAGGAGATGATGAGTGTTGAGCTGTACATTCGTGTCTCGGTTGAGCAGAGGCTGCCGGTTCCCTCCCACCTCGTCCTCCTTCCCCGCTTCCGGCTCCCACATTCAATAATTTGCCTACCCACATGCGTTGTATCGTGTTGGTGCTAAGCTAGGGCAGCAAGGCGTGTTGCGTCCTGGTTGGTGTGTTGAGGGACGAAGAAGGAGGGGCGAGGAGACAAATTGGTTGCAGGAGGCTCCACGACAAGCGCCGCAAATCAAGCTTAACACAGCGTGATTTCTCCGCCCGAGCTGGATCTCTCCTTATTTCGGCTTATCCATGCGGGAGACTATTGTCGGTGTTATTCTTTGTCAGGATTTGTCACCATTATCACCATGATCGAAAGGGAAAGATGGAACGAAAGTGAAAAGAAGACCTAATTTGGTGGGAGCTTTGGGCCTCCCTTCTACTACTGCTAATCAAGTGAGCAAAAGCGCTGCATGTCTTGGCTCCCCATCGGCAATCCCGTTTCCCAGTCTCATATGCCCCTGACAGGGGTAACAACACACCTCATCGACTATTTCTTGTAGCTACCCTATAACACGCTTTACCACATTTCTCGAAACCATCCTTTGCCTCTATATTACATTACAAAATTCTATATTGTTTCCCCAACTGTTAATTCCCCTTCTCTTCCATGTATTCGGCCGCAGACGGCAAGCGAGGTATCAACGAACCTCAGACATCTTTCGGACTCTCTTCGCTTCGGTTCCTTTTGACGCTGATCCATTCCATGCCAAGAGCAGCAAGAAGTGCTAACCCGGAAATAATGATTGAGACAAGGAAACACTGTCGTAGTCCAAGGTTATAAGCCTCCAAAACACCCCGCGCTGTCTCGCTGCCAAACTGTTCTGTTATAGCTTTCCGTAGACCAGTCGCTCCGTGTTCAATCACGATCTGAGGATCCAGGTCCGGGACCCTGGAAGCTAATTCTTCAATTAACTTGGCCTGGAAAACATTTTGCCCCACAGCAAGGAAGATAGAGCCACCCATAGACTGGGAAAGGACCATAGCTGAGGTGCCCATGGAGATGTCTCCTCCTTTGAGTACGGTTTGTACAGCCACCAGAGGCATCTGAAGACCTGAGCCAATGCCGAGCCCAAACAGTGCCAGAGAACCGGCCCTATTGTTCAATCAGATCAGTCTGAGATTAAAAATAGGGATACAATGCACTTCTTTTGACATACCAGAATGCTGTTGTAGTATCAAGTTCATACATGTACAAGAGGCCAGATGCGACCGTGGTAATCACTGCACAGACAATCATTTGCGGGACGTAATACCCAATATGAGATGTCTGTAAATGTTGTTAACCACACATACTCATTTTCTAATTTCCAGAGCTTGGTAGGAAGTTGTTTGTTTATTGAATTGATACTCACCAAAGCACCAGCTGCAAAGGATGCAACAATTAATGGACCGAGTGCTGCGAGAAAGTTGATACCTGACTGTTCAGCCGTCGTGTCTTTCACGACCTGGAACCAGATGGGCCCGTAGTATGAAACAACAAACATGGAGCTGCAAGTACATAATGAGAAGAGTAGCCCACAGCCCACTGATCGCTGCCGGATTATTCGAGCGGGTAAGGTAGCATTGTCGCCTTTGGTGTACTGGATGTAGATCCAAGCGATAAAGAGAACGCCAAACAGGCACAAGCAAAGAATGACTCTCCAGTTGCTCCAAGCGTATGTCGTTCCACCCCACTGGAGGGCAAGGAGGAGGCAAAGCAAGAATGGCATCAGACATAGGCTGCCAACGAGGTCTAGTTTATTGAGAAACTCCTTGATGTCTGCAATGGAATTCATCGTGTGATCGTTCCTCTCATCATGAGGAAGCTTCAGAAAGAAGAAAACGGTCAGTGCGGTCGCTGCACCAAGGGGCAGGTTGATCCAGAAGCACCATCGCCAAGTAAGTCGGTCTGTGAAGACGCCTACAGAGAAGGTAATGAGCATTGAAGATTCCAGGAAAATAAAAGGACCAGTAACAAGTACTAACCTCCGAGAGTGGGAGCGATCATTTGGGAAATGCCACTACAGGCCCCGATTGCTCCAGTGAAAACCGGTCTTTTCTCTAGAGGAAGACTCTTCGCGACTATCACGAAGAAGCCCGACATGAGCCCAGCAGCGCCAATTCCAGCAACAGCTCTGCCGATGACCAGGGCTACTGAGTTTGGTGCTGCGGCACAAACAACCGAGCCTACTTCGAAGATGCCGAGCGCGACAAGAAACACCCATGTTATGTTAAGCTCCGCGTACAGTTTTCCAAACAACAGTTGAAAGCAGCAGGTAGTTAGAAGAAAGGATGAGCCATACCAGGCTACATCATTCAACGAGTTAAACTCGGCTGTAATCCTGGGGACCGCGGTAGCAACAATCGATCGGTCCTAAGCACATATCGAGGAGTCAGATAGGCAGCCGAGAGGTCTTCGGAGGATGTAGAAACTCACCAAGCCAACACAAAAAGCACATAATGCAAGTCCAATAGCCACGAATAACAATGGCAGGCCACTCAAATATTCGGTCGCTTTCTCAGGATCTTCTTCGGCATGAGGGTTTGGGGTGGACGTTATCATCTCGTACTGTGCCGTCTCCCGTGAAGAATCACTCCGGGGTAGTTCTCCATTGATCTCACGTTGAGACGCGCCTGACTCCAATGACTTTTTCATAACTGAACGAGTTCAGTTCGAAGAGAGCGGGTGGCAATGATGGATCGATGTAGGAAATGTTGCCGGTTTTTCGTGGGCAGCGGCCACATCTTTATTTATTTGCCCTTGAAACATACGGTCATTGGAAAGCCATATTGTTAACTCGAATCCATGCATACGGGGCCAAATTAATTCCGCCGGCGGACAGGTTACGTATGTTCTCATACCTCTGATGGCTCTCAACGGCCGGACGGATATCTTTATAACATCCGGCCGAGACAGGAATCCACTTTGACTGGCCTTTCATTGGTTCGGAGGTGCAATGAGATTGTTTGCATCCACTTTTCGGGATTAAATTGCCTCCGTCCGATTCTGATGAGCCTCATAAACATCCCTCATCCAACATTTCACGGGCTCGGGCTTTCTTTGATGCCCTGCTAAAGGGAAAGAATTTCGCCAAGAAAGCAGATCGGAAATGGACGGCAATATCGGCGATCAGTCGGAAAATTCAATACGGCCACGAGCTTGCGAGCGCTGTGCTCGTTCCAAAGCAAAATGCGTTTGGACGGATCGGGAGAAGGATGGGATGAAAGTCTGCGAAAGGTAATGACGCTATTTTTCCTCTTGAATATTGAAGAAAATAATTTACAATTCAAATAGATGTTTCAAGGGGAAACTTACATGCATCGCCCCTCCACCTGGAACAAGAAAGACGCGAGGGAAGTCGACGTGAGTGGCTGTTCGGCAACATGGAGAATTTTACAGATGACCTAGTACTAATCTTATCAAAGACGGGTGAAAGCCATCGAGACGAAGTTAGAAGGTATCATGTCACTACTTGGCGAGCATAAGGATCTGTTGCAGCATGTGAATAAACCCTCCGGTCCGTCCGGTTCTCAGACCGCCGCTTCCAGACCGCCAACCAGCGATTGGAGTATCCCAAGATTGGAAAGCGGTCGGACCCAGGTGACCCAGCCAACGTTGCCATCTTCGTTTACACAACAACTCAACTCCAGAGAGACACAGAAGTTTGAAATCATATCTGGGTACGAGATGTCATTTGACGAGGCCGATCAGGTGCTCCAAGAGTACATGATCATGATGCTTCCTCAATTCCCATTTGTTCCGCTGGAAACTACCGACGTATTTCAGTTGTCGCGGGAGAAGCCGCTGCTGCTGAAAACGCTGTTGTTTGTTTGCCGCCCTTCTGACTCACAATCGAGATTGAATTTCGATGGATGGTTTCGACAACATATTGCCCACCAGATCGTGGTGCTGAACATGAAGAACATTGAACTAATACAAGCAATTATGATTTTCCTTGCCTGGTGAGTGCTGAGTAGGGAGTATATGGGCACCAGCCAGATGTTAATAGATACCTTTAGGAGAGACTTTCGACACTTCATTGATGGCCTTCACACAAGTCTGATGCAGCTTGCTGCAGGCCTTATCAGCGAAATGAAGTTAGATAGATGCCCGCAATCACCCAAAAAGCTGATAAACTCGATAGTCGAGGACGTGGAGATGCTAGGCTTCGAAGTTCCGGTGCAAGAAGGGCCTCTCAACGTCGGCAGGAGGACAGCGCTTGGAATATTTTATATTGCTACCTCGTGCGTATATAAAGCCCTGGAATTCATCACAAATTCTAACCATTCTAACCACACTATTATTTACACCAGGGCTTCACTTCTCCTAGGCAAATCGTCTTGTATGAAATACAATGAGACCTTCGAAAGATTTTGCCAAGTCTTACTCCACGATCGAGAGTATCCCACAGACACGCTTCTGGTCCAACTCGTTAAGATTCAAATACTCGCTTCCAAGTTGATTACTGCATATTCAAATGCTGCTGGAGATGGAGTCTATGAGCAAAGTTTCCACTCAATGACTGTTTCGTTAATCCGTAAAGAACTGAACGATTTCGCATCTCAGCTACCTCCAGAGCTTGCATCTAATCGTAAGTAAAGCAATTTATCGAATCATCGAGATGCATTGGCCTAATCTTATTATCCATGTTGCAAGATCTTATACGAAGCCACAAGCAGGCCATCTTAGTTCGATTGTATGAACCTGCAATACATTCAGAACCTCAGAATTGGCCATATGCATCACTGTCAAGGACCGAAGGAATTTGGAATTGTTTTCAGAACGCCATAACACTATGTTTTAGTTTCATGGAAACGCCGCACGACGTGATCTCTTGCCTTACTTTTCCATACACTGCACATCTAACTATGGGCCTTGTCAAGATAATTAAGCTTCTTCGAATTACAGGTGATCGCGATTGGGACGCGAGAGTGGCGGAAAAGGAAGTCAATATTGAAGACCTCATACAGCGGCTCAGTGACTTTTTCAGAGCCGGCAGCTTGGTCATGGGGCCGAGGCGGAGAATTATCGACCAAAGCCAAGACATTCTGGCTCAGTACGCGGATAGGTTGGGAATGCTGAAAATCTGGTGTTCTTTGTACCTGAGCGGGAACGCTATCAACCCAGTTGGATCTGGGGAACAGATGACTGACAGCAATATAAACTTCGGACTGGAGGGAAACTTGGCCTTCTGGCAGATGTTTGTAGATGGGAGTTCTTGACAGGTTATCGCGATGGGGAGAAAGCATAAGGTGATATTTGGTATCGTGTGACGAATTACAAAATAATACTAATTTACTATTATTTGAGTATATCATATGAATAAGGAGAGATTGATCAATCTGGAAGGATCCGGTAGTATGTTGTGTAGGGGGTTTTGCGGTGAGACTAATTTGTCTTCATGACCTTGACAAACTCCTCATCTACGAATTGTGTTAGTATAAGAATGTGCCAAGAGTCGGGAAGTTACTCACAGCTGATATGGCCATCATCATCTTCGTCCGCGGCCTGGAGCATCTCATTCAAATCTGCCTCACTAACTCCCTTTGCGAGTACTGCCATGGCTTCGCGCAATTCTTCTTTCGAGACCCGTCCGTCGCCGTTACGATCCAACATCTGGCCTTTTTTAGAAGAAAAGTAAAAAGCACAGAAAATATGCGGGATAAATGGTTTTATCCTACCACGAAAACCTCCCAAAGCTCGTCGTCAGGAGTGGTTGGCTTGGCCTTGTCAGCCATTAAACGCACGAAATCTATCCCGCGACGTCAGCTCTTGGACCTTTGGCAGTCACCGCCCGAGATACAGCTCCAGATTACCATACCGGAGAATTCTAGCGCGCCATTGTTGTCTAAATCGGCTTCGTCGATGATGGTTTGCAGCTCAGACTCGGTAGGGTTTTGGCCGAGAGCTCTCATGACTTCGCCAAGTTCCGCGGCCGTGATTTGTCCTGGATTATTGGGTGTCGGGAACCTCGTCATTCGAGTTGAAGTTTAGAATGTCACATACCGTCATTATCTTGGTCCTGCATGTCGGAAGATATAACCAGATTAGCGAACAAATCAAGCCCAAGTTCAGCGCACGAGCACTTACGAAAAGGTCGAAGATTTCCTTCAGGTCGCTGATCTGCTTTTCGTCTATTCCGTCGAGTGCCTGGTAAGCGGAGCCCGCCATTAGAATCGCTCCAGATGTATGCAACAGTTAGGGTCACATTGGGTGCCTTACCATTGTGAGAATGGGTACCAAAGTCCGCCCTTCGAACTTATAGGCTTGGTGATCCTGCTAGGCTCCGTATATGTAGTCTTTTGCGTAAATTCCCGATGTAATTTTACGTTGAATGAGGGAAAATAACCCTGAGGCAACACGTTATGATTCGCGAACGAAGGCGTAGGCAGCCCTTCTCCGCTTTAAGGCGTTCAAAGCAAGACGAGGCGACAGTTAGGCGACCAAGGTGAGACAACCCCCTTCCAATCATTGCCCGGCGAGGAAAGAATTTACCAGACTCCGTCATCTGAGCGCCTGGGCCAATGGATCACAGCTTTGTCCTAAATCGCCGATGGATATCAACAGGGGTGATTTGCATCACAAGCCTTGGGCGTCGCACAGTTGCACAATCCTGTGCAATGCTATTGTGTCCCAAGCATAGAGGCACCCTTAGAGCAAGCATTTCCAATGCGATGCAGTAAAGAGAACGAGAGTTTGGTGCTATGAGTAACAGTTCTATAATTGAAAGATTTAATAGCACAAGAAATCTGGTCTGTTGAAACACGCTGAAGAAGTCTCATATGCTACGATTAGTATTCGGAGAAACAAAACTCGATGACGAGATGGGATCCCAAACTCAAAGACGCGATCGACGGCTCATAGAAGATGAGTGACAATATAAAGGGAGTGTCAATTCAAAGTCGGACTTAGCACTCTGCATCGTGCGGCATTTCCAAAATGAAAGGATGAGCAGTTGGGGAGAAGAAGGAGAAATTATCTCGAGCGGGGGGAACTTAAATTATATTACACCACATGTCAGACTTTCAGCTCGCCAATATTGACGCTTGGCGGCATTCATCGTGGCTGTGCCAAAATCTTGTTTTCCAAAGAGGAGAAGATCATGAGCTGATGACAAATAGAGAGGGGAAACTTCCACTGAGTTCTAAATACAGTCAGTGGTATTATTTCACATAGGTTCGGAGTGTCACGTTCGGAGGATTGGCAGCTGTATAACTCGATAAGAGATGACCGAAAAGTTCATCGGCCGGTTGGAATTGGGCTTATTGTAATTTATTTCTAACGTTTTTGTGCCATTTTATATCAAGTACAATGCTTTAATCTAAACAATCTTGAAATGAAGAGAATTCTTTTATAGCTTCCAGATCTATGTTCTAAGTCGTGAGCTTGATGCAGAATGGGAAATTTGCTAATCCTAATGTCCTGGAAAATAGTAGGATACTTAGGTATACTCTACTGTTTAAACCGGTCGAGACCTATCTACTCAATTTCTTGTCCATCTCGATTCTCCATTTTGCTCCATATCGAGCAATCAACCATATCCCAATACCAGACGAGAGCATCAATGCTGCTACAATAGTCATTGTCCAGCCTACCCCGATAGCATTTATCCAAGGGATGGCTACCAGTGAGCCAGCAAATGACAGCATGTTCCGGCACAAGTTGTTGATAGCCACCCCAGATGCTGATCTTCCTGGCATAAACTCTGTGAGCATTGTAGTGGTTACCGACAGCAGTAGGAAACTGGTCACCCCGAGAAAGAAGGGAGGTACAAGCTCAATCAACAATGTCAGTAAGTGATTGAAACTCAATGGTCATTTGAACTCACAACTGCTGGCCAGAATAGCCTGTAATGGGCTGCCCAGCCATACCATATCGCGGCTGCTGGATAACCCAGAACTCCACACCAGGCATTCTCCCGCATACGGTCTTCGGGAAGGTAGACGAGCTTTCCGTTTCCATCGTATCTGTCGTTTTTCTCGGCCCGCTTTCGCATAATCTTATCCATCCATCTCCCTCCAAAAAGACTAGCGACAATGTAGCCTATGGAGGCAGGGGTGTAGACAAACCCAACCATCCAGCTGGGAAATGAGTACGGCGTGTTGCTGAAGATATGCTCGAGGCTAATGTTGACAACATACAAGGCCCCGAAAGTAATAGAGTTGATAAGTACTGAAAGGGCAATGGCAGGGAATTGCAGGTATGCCAGTAGTTTGAAGGGATCAATGAAAAGCTCCTTGAACTTATGACCAGCGTAAATCGCCCCTGAAACAACTAACTGGAGCAACCCTCGATACGGTTGGTTACCTATACCTTCCATTTCGGACTCACTGACCTCCACTGCTGCCCTTTTGGGAGAAGTTTCTGGAAGCCCAAGTAGCACAAGAAGTGTCATGACAACTGAAATGGTCAGTAAGGTCCTAAGAAGATACTCAAGCCTTAGTTGAACATTCGGAAAGCTCGAAATACTCACCGCCATAGATTGTAAGAAACCATTGCGTACTAGCCCAACCGAACTTGTCACTTAGGGCACCGCCTAGAATCGGGGCCAGTAAAGGTCCGCAAAGAGGTCCGAGGAAGAAGTACCCCATCGCTGTGCCTCTCTCTTCTGGTACCCATATATCAGCGATGGTCCCTGCACCGACCGACATTGCCGCCGAGGATGCTCCCCCTGTAAAGAACCTCATCGCGAGGAAAATACCGATGGAAGGCGAAATGGCGGACATAGCACTGAAAAAGGCCATGCCTATGTTGGAGATGACATATACTGTTCTCCTCCCGATCAACTCAGACGCGGATGACCACCAAAGAGGAAACAGGGCCATGGCAAGCATATAGATTCCAACTGACATACTTGACATGAACGCTGTGGTTTCATACGCTTCTGCTATCGGAGTAAGTGCAGCTGAAATATGGTGAGCATGTGATGAACATGGCAAAACTCCACTCTGCAACTCCCCTTCCCAGTGACTCACGTAGTGTTATGGCGCTTCCGAAAGGGCTTACGGCTCCAATAAGAGATATGATAACAGTAATTGTCCATTTTCTTTTCCTGGGCATCTTGGTGGGTATGTCGACCTCTTCCAGCAGCGCGAGCCAGGCCAAAATGCCTCGTCGTTCATTTTTCGGAACAACGGTCGGCGAGGGATCCTCTAGATGCATAGTTGGGGGGACATTATCCCCTGATTTCTCTTCCCCATGATTTACTGTCGTTAATTCTTTAGTTTGGGGGATCTCATCTCCCGTACGAAGGATCATGTTGGGCTCTCGGTCTTGCATGACAGTTGTGCGTTCTCCATCGGCACCAACAAATTGCGGAAATTGAATCAGCGCCAGCCAAGAACAACTCCGACCCCACCTATCTAGAAGAAAAGATAGTGAATGGATTACACTTCCATTTGCGATAACCTCGATTTATAGCCGCGGCAATAATGTCGTATTTGGCCCTACGAGGTGTGGATATGCCCCGCCCCAAGCCAGGGTTTGAGCACTCTGTAGGAGACAGATACTGAAGTATAATGGTAAGTCAAGATGCTACAAGAATAGCTTATACTTCTAGTGGGAACCTATAATTCATTAAGTCACGCCATGATTGTCCATTGAAGTTCTGTTGTTGAACTCTCAGGGCATCATCGGATCGTGGGGTAACTGGATCCATTCGAGATCTTGAATTGGCTATTTCCGGCTCCAAATTCTAGGCATTGTAGGCCCCAGTGGAAAGGCGTAGCGGTTACAAAAGGGCGTATAGAAAACAAGCGAATACGCTTGATCTAACAACAGCGCTATGGGTTGCCCTTGAACCTCAGCCGTAACTACGAAGAACACTATCAGACATTACTTGTTACGCCTGGAAGTTCAATGGAGATGACCCCTCGGGATCTAGGACAGGATCCGAGTGTGAGAAACGCCGCGGGATTATACAAGTGCTTACGTCGCGACGGGAATAACGCATAAGTGATCTCGCCGAGAAGAACCCTTGGAATCTTTGCAAGACGCTGTGACTGGAAGTAGAGGGATATCAGATGGTAAATTTCCGAGGCTGATAATTTCGTGTAGATGAAACCATTTCAGGGTCGAGACGGCTCGGGGTTATCGCACTGTCGACCTTCCTACTGCCCTCGGTGAAGACTGGAAAGGGTCGTGGGCGGGGTTGGCCTCGGGGATTACAAATTTGATGAGCACTAGCTGTAAATCAGTGGACGCAGCCTGTGGAGTGCTCATCAAGATGTGGATTTGCTTCCGAGATCAAGGGTCTTCATGAGCTCGCGAGCCCGCGAGAGCCAGCATGCGGACATGGATCAAGACGCGAGCGCCGACAATCGCGTGGAACGGTGTGTGTCAACCTTAACTTCGGCGCCCTTTCCGACAAGCCTCACTCAAGTGAGTCAACTCGCCGGTGCTGATGGGAGGCTTGCGAGTTCCAACGTGCCGGTCTCCCGCCCAGCACTAGGTGGCATACAGGCGCTACCGAACACGCGGATGTGCCGTCCGAACCGAGCCCAGCAAGGCATGGCCTCATCCATAATCAATATCCTTCAATAACGTCGGCGTGTGGTTGGTTGACGTCACCAGAGATCTTCACTTAGCTTGCCTTCTCCGAATAAGATTCGTTGCTTGCTACCAATCAGCTTGCCCCTACCCACCGTTAGGACCATCTAGTCCATGATCTTGGTCTGATGATTAGGAAGCAGATAAATTGAGTTTACATAATATCCAGTTAAGTCCGAGTGTGGTTTGTGTGTGTGGCGGATTGCACGGGTATAATCTACTCCCTTGTCCTCGGGGTTACTGGCTGATTGATAATTGTTGGAGTATCCCTGCACAAAAACACAATGGTATTTATTCTATGACGAGTTGCTCAAGGCTCATCCCTCTCTAAACAGAGGTCATTCAAGTTCTTAACCGCGCAGTCTCGTCGCTGAACCACCGACTGTGTCGACTCCTGGTATCCCCTTGTCGAATTCCGTATACCCTCTGCCGCTTCTATGTCAACATGGCGGCCGCTATTGAGCGAGTCCTGTCAAGGGCTGTGAACAAGCCTTATCGCACGAAAGATCTCGATCTGACGAACCCTCCGCAACTGAACGCATCGGGCCATATCGAATTTGCTCCTGGCGACATCGAAAATCCCAAGAACTGGAGCACGGGTCGTCGCACTGCTGTCACGGTAGCCTCTGTCATACTTGTTATGAACGCAACGATGGCATCCTCCTCCCCCAGCGGCTGCATTCAATCCATCTCCCAACACTTCAACGTCTCTGCCGAAGCCGCTGGTCTCACAATCACCTTGTTCCTGCTGGGGTACTGTGCTGGACCCTTAGTCTTTGCTCCCCTCAGTGAATTCTACGGCCGCCGGTGGATTTTCTACATCACATTTTCTCTATACCTGGTTTTCAACTTTCTCTGTGCCTTCGCGCCAAACTTCGGTGCTCTTCTCGTTGGGAGATTTCTCACTGGCACATTTGTATCAGCACCACTATCCAATGCCCCCGGCGTCCTGGCAGATGTATGGAATCCTTTGGAAAGAGGAAACGCAATGGCTGGTACGTGTTGGCCCCCTGGATGATGATGTCCTAGTCCGCTGACGTGAGAACCTTTGCACAGGCTTCTCCACCTTGGTCTATGTCGGCCCTGCCCTCGGCCCTGTTGTGGCAGGATTTCTCCAGCTGACAAAGGATTGGCGATGGAGTTTTTATGTCCTTCTTTGGCTCGGGGGTGCGAGCGGCTTGCTAATGCTTACCATACCCGAGACGTATGCGCCTGTTATCCTGGCTAAAAAAGCTCAGAGGATAAGGGCTGCAAAGATTCCTGGCTACGAAAACGTGAGGGCTCCGCTCGAGGATGACCAACGGACACTCGCGAGTGTGTACAAGGTTGCCCTCACGAGGCCCTGGATTATCCTATTTGATCCGATATCGTTTCTATGTGCCATTTACATGGCAGTTGTATACACGCTACTGTACATGCTGTTCACTATCTACCCCATTGTCTTCCAAGAAAAGAGAGGTTGGAACTCTGGAGTGGGGGAACTCCCTCTGACTGGCACGGTTGTGGGAGCCGCCCTCGGCGGTCTCATTGTGCTTTATGATACACGCCACCGCCAAAAGAGAATTGATCGTGGCGAGCTTAAAATGGAAGACATGGAACCCGAAGAACGACTGGGACTAGCAATGATCGGGGGCGTTGCTTTCCCCATTACTATGTTCTGGTTTGCTTGGACAGCAAACTTCGAGTAAGTCAACCTATCCCCAACCCATGATTGCCCTTTCAACCAACTGACACCATGATTCTTTAGTTCAATCCACTGGATCGTTCCTACAATTGCCGGTTCAGTTCTTGCTGGCTCATTGCTACTTATTTTTGTCGCCTATCTCAACTACCTCGTTGACACATATCTCATGTACGCCGCATCAGCCGTGGCTGCAAATACTATCATGAGGTCGGCCTGCGGGGCAGCGGCACCCCTTTTCACCAAACAGATGTTTGATGCTCTCGGCGTTGGAGGTGGCGGCAGTCTAATCGGTGGAGTTGCTACCCTTCTAGCTATCATCCCATTTACCTTCTACAAGTATGGGAAAGCGATCCGAGTCCGCAGCAGGTTCGCACCTACAAAGGTGACCAAGGAAATGGTCCAGCGAGACGAAGAGGCTGTAAGGCCTGATGACGGAGTATTAGGCGGGGATGGAGGCTCTACGACTGAAAACGGAGGCGACCCGAGCGTTAGAATCAAGGATGAGACATCGTAATGTGAGTGGATAGACACTGTAAAGGTATTGGAAAAGCACATTTGTATCTAGATTTTATATTTCTTCTCCTCTTTTAGAATAAACATATCACTCACTTCCAAACACTGGGTTAGTTCATGGCATAGTCAACTTCCTTAGCTTTCACTCTCAGATGTGCCGTATGAAAGGGGGAAAAGCCATGATACTCAAATACCTATTATAAGGAACCCTCATTCGGGCCACATGCGACTTGGCCATCTGATCTAGCTATGAAGTACTACTTGAATATGTTGATCGTTCCTTGCGTATCACCGTGGCCCCCAACCGCATCTAGAATATATGATAAGTGTGGAGGAGCTATCAAGAGTAGAAGGAGATGGCCACACGAGTTCACAAACGCACGATTATCATCAGTCTTCTTTGACACATCAAGAGGCGCAATAAAGCATCTACATAGCGGCTTGATAATCAACACGGCCGTCCTCGTCAACGACCCCGGCCCTGTGATAGTAATTCCTTGCGCGGAGATAGGGGTCAAGCCGCCAATAATTTTCCCGTATTTCATCAGCAACGCGATCACGCAGGGCTTGTTTTTCTTTGCCAGCGTCAGATAAGGGATCATACGCCATCCACTCCAAAGTCAGCCGTTCAAAGTCATATGCCAGTCGATCTCGTTCCCCTTGAATCCTATCTCTCTCCTCAACCTGATCCATGTGGTCATTCTCTCCAGGAATGGGATCGATATACTTATACTCCCACACATCTTCTCCCCCCAATTCGCTGGAGAGGTTCCCGAGAGCAATGAATCGCTCCAGGTCAGCCTTGGTGCGCGTAAAATGAATCTTGTTTGCGACAACTGGGTCCATCCAGCCTTTCACGGCTCTCCAAACCCCTAGATAACCACAGAACTGGTAAGCCAACCAAACTTGCAGAAATGTCACGACATTTTGATCATTTCAACTTACCCCAAAATACGAAAGGGGCATTATGGATCAGAACGACTCCTAATGTTTCGGGATACCTCGCTTCGAAAACGGTGGTAAGGAATTTTAAAACATGCAAGTCCATGTTCCGCAATCCAAAGCCGGTCATATTGAAGATGATGCAAGCCTTGTCATTGGAAGGCTGGACCAACATGCGCATGCTCTCAAAGGTGTGGAGAATGTACATTTCCAAGGACTTGCTCGGTTGCTTGTGCGGATCATGCAGCCGGACTGTCACTGTGAAGACTGGGCGTCCTTCCCGGTCAACGCCTCTGACAAAGCTCTTTCCACTCCGATACTGGTCTATGAAACCCTTTTCCTCAATAGATGGCGATTCCTTCAGGCCAACAGCCTCCCCTTGTTGGACAATATCCTCTTCAATGCGTGCCTCCTGGCGCCAGCTCACAGCGGACACGAGCATAGCCACACCTTTCTCGACGTCCCATTTTCGTGCACGGAGGAATCGAAGAACTAAGGTGTCCGGATGTTCAATGCAAATGCACCGCCACAGGAACTTGCTGAAGTCGCCAAGAGTGGCTGGGTTGAGGTGACGTATAAACTCTTTGGAATCTTCAGAGGTGTCTGCCTCATTGCCCTCAAGGAGCGACTTGGAAGCGCTGGAAGCGCCAAGGCGGATTAGATAGGCCCAAGCTTGCTGCAACTTACGCTCTTCCGAGGGCGTTAGATGGCCCAGGCACCCTGACATTCCTGGCATGGTAGGAGGACGAGCAAGGAGGTGTTGGGTAGAATGTACCGCGCAACCAGGCCAGTTGAGGGGGCGGGAGCACTTTAACACTTCTACTCACTTGGCTGCTTGGGAGATGATGAAGGGATTTGCAGTCAAATTCGTTCATTCCAGTATGCTTGTAAGAGAATTGTCACCATTCCTACTTCTTATAGTCATTTCATCTGTACCTCTTATTCCTGATAGTCAATGATCGCAAGCACAGCTGAGATGCCTCGGAAGGTGATGTAGCATTGGTGGGGTAATGCAAGATAGCGCTCACCTCGTGATGAACATTAGGGGGTGCCCGGAGGTTGCCATCCGCTTCGGACGCTCCCTACCTACCACATGTAAGATCAGAGGCAAATACATGACGGGCACTAGTACGAGATGGAGCGCGGATCATTTGACTCGGGCACAGAACTTGGGACAATGACCGACCATTCATTCTATTCAGACCATTCCTATTCATGCAAGGCAACTCGCTCGAGCCAATGCAAGTCAGCGGGGTTCTATGAGTCTGTGCTGGACTCGAAATATCAAGGATAACCCGGCGTGGCTAAGCCTACCATCCCGTCAACACAAGCGGTTCGTCAACCAACGAGGTCTAGCAATCCTCACCGCAAAGCCTGATTGCCTCTGGATGATCTGCCCATGATCGAAGTTGTGGGATTTTGCTTGCCTATCCCCCTCAGGCCTGCATCCTTCCCTCTACTTCTCATTCTGCTTCTCAATGGGCACTAATGAATGCCTCGGGAAGTGATTTAATGGTTGCTCCCCGCACGCCCAAGAATAGAAACCTCTTCATGGTACGTATATTTTTATACCAGAAGGCTTTGCTGGGCCTCGACGCCAAGAGGTTACATCGTGATATCGACCCTAACCCCACATGGTCCTGCTCCCAACTTAGTGGTGAGGTGCATGGTGCCACAAACAATACGAGGAGGATTGCAGATTTACTTCAATGCTCAAAGTCAGAGATGCAGAATCAATTATTGTTGGTAGCCCGTTACCGGCACGAACGTCGGGGTTAATCCGCTCGTCTATGACCAGTTTGCTGTAAGGAGAGTAGTCTGTCTAATCTAATGCTGATGATGTCGTAGTATCACGTCGATTCATAAAAATCCAATCCAAATAAATCATAAATCATACCATATCCAATTCCACATGCGGATCTGCAGTGCCATGTCCAAGGTGGAGATGACCCTTAAGATAAAACAGCCGTGGTCAGTCCTTAGGAGGCCTCGGTAAGAACCTCAATGACGACCTCAGCCTCACGGGCCTGAAGAGATTCAATCCATCGGCGGGGCAGAGAAGTGATTCCTCCTATGGCGCGAGTGGATTGCTCAGTTTGGTCCTCATCTTCAGATTGTGTTGTATTCTTTCCGGGAGCGTTCCTCCACATGCCGGGAATCTGAGGGAGGACCTTGTTGGTGTCTCCAAGAGTGGCGGAGGCAAGACCAGCAGTGGCCAAGAGAGAGAGAATGGCAGATGAAACCTAGAGAAAAAATGAATGATTAGAAGTCTTAGGACAAGGTGTAGGGGTGGAATCCAATAAATTCTTGGGTGCGTCAAGGGGTTTTCCTACCTTCATTTTGAGGATGGTTCAAATCTGATGACTGGATGGTAATTAAGTAAGTAGATAATTTTTGCTATTCGAGGAATGATGTTGATTAATTGGGAGACTAGTTGATTGATAGAAGACCTTGACTTGGTGGGAATGAGATATCTTTATAGCCAGACCGATAGCAAGAATATGACGCTATCGATCTAATGAATGGAGGGATGATCAACTTGAGTATGTCGACCAACAAGTTGCCACGAAGACCCAACAGGCGCAGCCAGGGAACCCTTAGGTATTATCCAGTTGGTTGAGCCTACAGGCCTGAGGCCGCCTGGTATTCCCTGCTTTGAGTTACGGTCTGCAGGTGCCACGCATGTTTGGTGTTTCAGGTTAAGAAATACGAAGAGAGGGGGGCAGCCATTGATCCCTGCTTTGTACTACACACGCCGGCACTCAGCCCGTCCGCCTCGATCTATTCCTCTCTTGCCTGAGCCAGCATACGGTGGAACCATCAAACAAATAGCCTGCATTGGGTCCAGAACGCTTTGTTTCTATTCTTTGCCGTGATGTGCTGGCCCCAGTGGAGCCATTCTGGGGCTCGAAAGTCAGCCAGCCTCTCTTCTGCTCTGCTGCAGTCGAGACGCCGCTGTTGGCCTGCCGCGCGTTTATGCGTGAAGTCGGGCTCGGCCTGTTCGCAAGGCCACCCCCTTGAGGTGAAAAGATGCGCATAATAATGACGAATCATGTTGGCCATGTCAGCTACGGTCATGAATATCATATGTCTGTCTCAGAACAGCTGCATTATACCCTCTTGACCGACCTTTCCGTGGCCAATTTTTGCTGCCTCTATCGAAAGAACTACCGTCCGTCCACTGACTGTTGCTATGATACTCCGCCCAGAGAGATGGAACGCTTCAGGCTCACTTGTGCCTGTGGTTGCCACAAGTCTCTTGTTGTGGTCCACCTTATATTCTATCTCCAAGCCAAATGCCCGCCGCCGTGTGACGATCCCACTAGCAGCTGCCTTCACTGTCATTGCGGCCCTTAACGCCCGCAACTTCTCCTCTAACGACATCGTCAATTCCATCTTTGCCAGATTTATCATCATCTACTTCTCCCACTCCCTCTTCATTCTTGGCTTTGTCTCCAGCCCCGAGCTCGAAGACGAACGGAAGAGATGGTTAATCGCAAGATCCATGAGACCTGGGGGAGCGCATGGCCCAGCCATTGACGACCAACAAATATCGGATAATGCGTCAGGGTCTTCAAATTATGTATTTTCCTATAAAGTTCTTCTGAATCCCCTCTGTTTCGGGACCAAGTGGGAAGTACCGTTGAGAGCGGTCAGAGGGGGCGGAGGAGACTCACTGGCAACACGTTTCGCCCACAAAAGCAGGAGCATCACTCCAGCAAGCGATTTGAAACAACCTTCATTTCCATCGGAAATTAGAGGCAAGACATTACAGAAACCTAAGTCTCGTATAATGTTCATTTTGCGTCGCCTGTTCACATTATTCTGTCGCTATCTTGCCCTCTGTATCTACTTCGATCAGGACCTGTTCTTTTGGATGCCAAGAGGAATTCCCGAAAACAGAGATGACTATATTCTTGGTGGCGACAATTTCTTCTTAAAAAGTCTGCCCTGTCTTCTCGTAGGTCGGTGTAGCAATGATGCGCATGCGCATACTCAAGCTGTGCGAGCGACACTTTTGCGACTTCACTGGGTCCTGGTTCAAATCGTCCCCGATTATTGTACCCTTTCCTCCTACCATGACATCTTGGCCATCATTGGTGTAGCAACTAGAGTTGATGACCCATCAGAGTGGCCTCCGATGTATGGCAGTATTGCAGAAGCATACACAGTGAGGCGATTCTGGTCCTCGTTCTGGCATCTTCTCATCTACCGATCGTTTTCTACGTTCTCAAAATCAATCTTGGCTATTTTGGGTATCAGTGGGCGTCACCCTATTAGCAGATACACGCACAACATCTTGGTGTTTCTCCTATCTGGCATCATGCACGAGATCGTCCCATGGTTGCTCACTCCAGATCAGTGCATGAAGTGCGGGTGCCATCATCAGATCTGGAGGTTCGTTCTACAGGTCTTTGGGATGATGGTGGAAGGTGCTGTTCAATTTGTGTGGATTAAGCTCGAGAGATGGCTCTTTGGGCCTGGAGTGGAACAGGTTCGCTTGTACGTCGCCATGAAGAGATGTCTAGGATACATGTGGGTGCTGTTCTGGTTGATATGGGTGGCCGAGCAGACCTATTTTCCTTTTACATACTGTTTAGCCTCATGACTGGCATGTGATCTATTGCTCTTGACGATAACTGAACTAGAGTACTGATGCGATCTGCGTTTATTATTGAGCAATATAATTTGAAGTCTGCCTGCGAAAGAAGTAACTCAGTCTGGAGCCTGCCAGCAACATTGCCGGGTGAACAAACAATTAGAGCATACAAAACGTGCCACCCCACGGTGGACAGAAAATACTTGATATTCAACCCTCTTCGCCGCTCAGCTTGTCATGGATCGCAAGAGCAATGAACGCGGCGGCCGCACCCAGAAAGAATCCCATATTGAAATTATCGACGATGGACAGCACTAGGCAGGCTCCACCGATCAAAGACAGGAAGAATATGAGCACTCCTCGCAGCGAGGGTCGGAATGATAACGAATGTAGCGGTGCTGCATTCCTCTGCTCGCCACCGTTCAACAGAGGAGTGGCCTGGTTAGCCTCGACATCTGCCTCCATCGAAGGCCAAGTGTCGTACGGACACAGGCCAGAAAAGGCAGTTGAAGCTTCGGTAAATTAAAGAATTAATTGATTTTTCGATTTTCGAGGTGTACGAAATCTTCTGCCAAAGATTAGCATTGGATGTCCGGAACCACTGCCCAGTCCGGGGCGACTTACTCAATATCGGCCTGCAGCAAGTATATCAAGTCACAGGTGCTTGGTATTGTACAGGCCCGTAGAGTGGTAACCCATTTCTCGGAGCCCAGCGAGTGTCCGAGATGAAGAAGTGAGGCGCCTTGCGATATCTTTCTCCAAATCAACCCGGGGGCTATGCTCGTCACACGTGACCGGCGCAGGGCTCGTCCACCAACCAGACTGAGGCAAAGGTGGGATCAAATCTTACAAGCATGGACAGGCTATGCTGCTTATAAAAGCATATTGGAATGAATTTTCTTTCTTCCAAATCTTCCACCTGGTCTTTCGCTCCTTTTGGTCCAGCCTCTCAACGATAAGGGTGTGCATGCGGGAAATAGCAAACGTACAGACTACTTGGCGGGCCTAGATTAGCCGGCCCCCCTACCTACGGTAGGGGGGGTCAGCAAGTAGCAATTTCGCCAGCGACTCGCAAAAAACAAAGTGACTTCGGTCGCCTGCTAAATTAGCAGGCCGCGTAAGTACACTGTTTTAGATGCATATCCCGCTTTATTCCAAGCCGCTAAGCCGCATTAAATCCGCCACGTGGCAACTAGCTAATCACAGCTTCTGGATGGGGCAAATTTGAATTTATCCCCTTGCATAATTGTAAGTATCGGAGGATTTGCAACTAAACAAGGGTACTTGTCTTTTGTATGGAGTATAGCAGGCGTACAAAGTCACTTTATTCTTTTGCGAGTTGCTGGCGAAATTGCTACTTGCTGACCCCCCCTACCGTAGGTAGGGGGGCCGGCTAATCTAGGCCCGCCAAGTAATTGTATAGCAGGTTAATGTCGTTCTGCTTAAAAGTTCCTTATAAATTCGCTTGGGGCAGAATTACTTTCTCTCTTATGCAGAGTTTCCCTTCTGTACGATGAAGGTTTACAGAGTTTTACTTCCGCATGACCACCACCTTGGACTAGCAGAGCTTTTTTTAAACCTTTTGTATTCATTGTGTTGAGATGTCGGAAAGTCTTTTCCATTGCTGTTTTTAACTTTATACCCGAACTCACCCGTATTCCTTCGCTCTTACTTCGACATGCCTCGCTATTATACCAGGGAGAAGAAGTCCAAGAAACCCGATAGCAGACGTAGTCCTAGATTTGAGATCTTGCGCATTAAAAGTTCACTGACAAGCAACGAAAGCTTACCATGGTTCTTTCCAGGTGACGGATCGCCGGTAATTTTAGTTAGAGGAATTAAGTGAAAGAAGAAAAGGGAAACCAGGATGGTTGCTGAAACTTTGAGAGCAAAAAGACTCCCGCCTGCTTCTACAAGGGTACTCTACAGCGAATACGATAACTGAATCTTAGGTGGAAAAAGCTAGGCGCGATCCTAGGATGTCTGACCCATGAGTAGTAGAAATTGATGGCAACAAAGTCACCCGTTCCGATATCTCTAACGTCTACATACTGAAAGTTAAGCTGAACTCCACGTAAATAGATACTAAAAATATAACGTCTTAGCTCTCGATAGCAGGAAGACTACATAATCTCAGACCAAATATATCACTGCATTCAACCAATCAATGACATCGGAGTAAGGCAGTCTGAATATTCTCTAAGGAGACACAAACCTTTCGACATAGTTTCTCGGGGAGTATCCATGTGAGTGTTTAGCATAAATTATAAACTTACGAATAGCAATGCGGAATCCAGTAAAAAATAATTGCTGTAATTGAGTGGGTGTCTTTTTAATAATCAGGAATCCTGAAAAAGAAATCCTCCCAAACTCCCTTCAGCAAGATGAAAGAGAATTCACAATTCCTTTGCATACGGGTGCCAGTGAGGCAGCATGCCGTTGCTTCTTTGCTCAAAATTGATCGAAAAGGAGCACTCTAAGATGGGGGTTAGTAATATGGGACATCATTTCACACAGTCAAATCATTCGCGAGGTAAATCCGCCGTCAGCCCTAGCAACTCAATTCCGCCGTTTTACTAAATAATGAAGGGATGGTGAAGCAAATCATTTTCCGCATCAACAATCAACAGGTTTGGGGTATCGATCAACATTGTGACATAAAAAAACAAAACATCAACAAGAATCCGGAGGCGGGCGGGTGCATATCAGTCACAACACGCTTGCTCTGTCAAGAAGTCCAATTCATCATCCCACATGCAAGTTCGTTGCTCATTACATCTTCACACATCGTCGGGGGCAAAGATCACACAGCGGGCCGCGCATGCTTCACTTGGATCGTCACATCATTTTGGACAAGTATTCCCCGTTCCAGCTCACCTGGATTCCAGGGGGAAGGGCCGTTGTGTTGGCTCGTGATGGTTGTGTGGACAGGCTCCGGCCCCTTGACTGACGAAGGTTCCATGTCTGTGATCTCGGACGCAGCGCTCTCCTCGTCGGCTAGTTGTCGAGTCGAACTAGTTTCGTTGGTGTATAGGGTCCTTCTGGGCAATCGAGGAGCTCTCAGTCCTGGCAGCTCGTGGCCAGGTATAACGAAACTTAAGCGGCGGCTTGTGATGTTGGTTTCGCCATAGCCATTGAGAATGCGGTTCCCGAATACGTAGCGGAAGAGAGGTCGGAGCAGTGGAAAGCATGCTATGAGGAATGAAAGGTCAGATAACGCATACTGAGAAGATAAGATCGAAGGCAAGGGCCAGGGAAAGGGGGCGGATTACCAGATACAACAGCCATATTAAGCTCAACCGCTCCCCATAGATAATTCAGCGCGTAGTCGTGAGGAACCTGATCTGAACTTGGGTTGGAGTGAATTGATTCGACCAACACAAATATGGATGCGACGCAAACGCTTATCACTGTTAAAATGCATTGCTTGCCTTTGGGCCTTGGTATAAGAGTGGTGCTTACATCGTACCGATTGCGAAGAGACCAACAACAGCAATCTTCTGCCCAACCGGCAGTTGGAGGTTAAAGACCGGTATGACTGGCAGTATGAGGATAACAATATCCATCACGAAATGAGGAAAGACAGTGCCAAAAAAGAAACTCGAGTCTGCGATCGAGCATGAGCCGCCGGGGATTGTCTTGTCCCAATATGCCGGTACGGGGGAACATCGAAAAATCACCATGAAGGTTCGTAGGATAATCCAAGCTACCACAAGCACCATCATGACAATGATAGGAATGCGGATTGCCGTATGTTGAAAAATACGCCAATAGAAGCTTAGGATTGTCAGCTTGGATGAGGAAATCGAAAACGCGTACGATAATGAGGCGAAGAAGGCGAGCTTTCTCGAATATTCAAGTATTTTTTCCTTGTCCGCAACACTGGTAGAACCAGGGATATATTGTCCCAACGACCAGTCGACGGTCCCTTTGTAGATAAAGAAATTAGCTCCCGTGAATTGATTTAGGTGGCGAGGGACGTCTCGGAGTTCGCGCAATACATTCAATGAGGATGGAGGAATAGATACTCCCAAAAAACTGAAGAAACAATGAGTCAGTCAAGCTTTCCGCCACTTCTAGGTGACTGCGGAAAACATGAGGTTAAAGGCAGATGGTGCTGTCAGAGCCGACTTACGAGGGCTGAGATGCAAAAGTAGTCCTCATAGGACCACGATTGTTTCGTCATGCGGCGCGCGATGAAGCGGCCGATGAGTGCCAGAAAAGCGGCGGCCCAGGTCACACCAATTCCAACAAAAATATTGATCACGAGCCCAGCCATGACTGTAAATTGTAGCTCGTGCCACCCACACGGATCTTCATGGAAGGCAATCAGAAAACGGATTCAGTGTCGCAATCGACCTTGTATACTTGAGCTCCACTGTCTGGAGACCCTTGAAAGGAAAAAGTAAAAGATAAAAGGTAGGAAGGATGGAAGAAGCCCAAAAGAAGGAAGAGGGGGTCATCTATTTCAGTGTCCTCCTTATCTGGGTGTTTGTTCAGGTATGTGTTACACTGGCAGGGGTTAATCGTCAGCTCTGTTGCACACCACGACTGTGCCAAGCTCCGCCACTTGCAATGGGCATAATCCATGGCCTGAGCTGAAAGAAAATAGTTTAGCCGCAGCCTGTTCCATTGGCCGACGCCCGGGGTCGCTGATCAGCTTATGGTGTGGTGGTTGCCTTCCCACTCCTGGTGCGGGGGACGGCACACCAAAATCCCATAGAATGTAAGCTGCTCCATTAGGGGCTGTGTATCTATACCAGAATCAGTGTCCGTGTCCCAGAGCCTTCCCCATAGATCGCCTTATCTGCAGGTGACGGCATCTATTCACTCTCTCCCACATATGTCGGGCACGGACAGAGATAGGGACTTGGTTACTGGCTCACGTGCCCCTGTTCATTCAGCCCAAGCAGGAAGTTCGACTATTGAAACGCCTCACTTGGAGATCTGCAGCGAAAATTCCCAGTGCTCACCCTCCACACCACCCAAGGCGGGCGGCCCAGTCGGAAAGTGGAGTGTGAATCACAGTCGGCCGCGATTAAATAGAGCTGTTCACAGTTGATTTACATACGGCTATCGGCTCACCGCCTTATCGGGCTGTGACTCAACTAGATTTCGATTGAAAGGGTGGGTTTTCCTCACATCTGGTCCCGAGCCTGCGGTTTCCCAGGCGGATCGTCTCGCCTATGAGACAGTAAGCTCGGAACCGACACTTCGTGCATACTGAAACGTACGGTTACATGGGAAGCAGAGATAGCGATGTTGCATCGTGGCGCCACAAATTTATACCGATGGTTGTATATACCGAGCCCAATTTACAGTGGCAAGGAAGAGGTCTTACCCAACGCCCAACAGATCCCTCCCCCTTGTGCATGAAGACGTCTACTATTTTCTTCGTAGAATTAATTCGCGGATTGAGACACTGTCTTCAAATCTAGCAAAAGAGAGGCAAAAAGCGCATGCCTGCCTACACACTTATGATTTTCGCATCAATTTCCCAATATGGTTGGGTTAATATTGGGCTGCTACATCCAATTCCGACGCTCGTCACAAATGTGGAAGACCCAAATCCCTAATTCGATATTCAGATGCGGAGAGGAATCACTTTAGGGGAGAGCCACGTGTCGGTATCACAGTCTGGGCTGAAAAGAACGGGCAGTTCATCCCACCACAAAGCGCTGGATAGTCAAATGGTCTACAAATAAACATGAGTCATTTCAAGGTCGTCAGCGTGGCTTCGGGCTACCTTGAAAGCCTTGACAGCCTAACGAAAAGTACATAAGGGTAATACATTCACAGTGTTAGTGTCTGAAACATAGAT